AATGGCAAAGGAGAGAAGTTTGTATGTAATAGCTGAAATTAAACTGCAGCTGTCAGTAATAGCAGTAATACATGGCAGTAATTCATAAATGTTTTAGGAATTCTCTGATAAACGTTGGTGGCATTCGTATCCTGATAATATGTGCGCGGATACGCCAAGAATAACAGCCCTCATGTTCAAATCAGGCTATGTTGATGTGCCAGCCATGGCACGTCGACCCGTTATATGCTCAACAGGTATATCTCCTTCAAAATTAAAAACCAAAAATGTAAAATTGGTTAGGTGGAGGCTTATTAAAGGAGTCGATAATCTTGAGGTTATAGGCTCTAAGACACCTTGTGATTCAGTCGCCACATCATTTGGCTAGCATCGCAACTACTATAAACCCTCTTCTCAGATACAACGCGCGTCGCGTTATGACTGATTAGCATAAATTCAAATTGCACCCTTATTCGGCTGGCATACACACGAGAAGGGGTCTTATTCTTTTGGAGAACGGAGTTTGTTTGGACCAACGTATTAGAATTGCGCTTTAAAGGAAGGATTTTCGTATGTTTTCTTTCTTGTTTACTTTGCTACTCTAATCTTCTTTTACGTTCGTGAAGTTAGAAGAGCCTTGAAAACTGCTTCCCATATTCGTCACTACCATTCACCCAGATTCCCTTCGCCTGACCTCTAAATCAGAAGAGATATTTCCCGAATATTCGTTAGACGCAATCTGCAAAAAGGCTCATTCTCAAGTGAACGCTACCTCCTTAATGGGCTACGGAATTGCATCCTTTGCTCTTAATACAATTGCAGCGACCGGATCAATTGTTCATCAATCAGTTGGTTGAGTGAAACATTTACTTAAGAGTACGATTAGGTCTGGCTACCAAGGTAAAGGTAAGAATGGTGAAAGTTTGTGAAAATCCGCTAATACGCACAGCAGGTTACCGAGCACACTAGATTGCAATCCAGGGGATCGGCCTTCTCAACCGTGCTTTTCATGAAATTATATCTACACCCACAACGATAGTGATGCCAAAAAGCACTGCTGTAGGCCATCTCTTAAAGGGAAGGATGCGGAGTCGCAGTGGCAATCCGCCAAGAGATGTTACCATAAGAATCTCTATCAAAAATGTATCCCAAAGTTTTCTATATCTGCTGAACGACATTTTGGTAGGAGTTGCACGCGTTCTTCCTGCTCAAATTCTTGTAATCGCTTGTCTAGCAGAACTATAGCAGCAACGTCAAGCGAGTGGACAAAGTGGCAAGTCTTTTGCGCCTAACCTTTCTATAACCGGGTTCGAATCCTGCGAGTTCATTCTGTTTTGCATTAATATTTTCTAATTGCTGAATGTGTGTAGAGCAATTTGATGCATCTCTATACTTTTTTATGTAAATTTCAATTAAAGAGTTAGCTGAGCTTAGTAAGGCTTATTCGTTATTTTATTTTTATGTCTTTTTGAAAAAAGTTAAAGATATAGATGTATGTGCTCTCCACACATGCAGCAACGCTCGACATTGTTGCTGTAGTTCTACTCGACAAGCGTTGACAAGAAACTGGGCAGGGAAAAACGCGTGCAGCTCCTCCCAGAATGTCGTTCAGCAGATATGGAAAACAGATTTAGGACACATTTTTGATAGAGTTTCTTATGGTATACATCTCTTGGCGGTTCGCCACTGCGACTCCGCATCCGCATCCTTCCCTTGTTAGTCGCTGCTCTTGCACAACTGTTGCGAAGAGTTTGTACTATAAGATGGGAGCAAGAGAGGTATTTTATGATGATGACGAAGTTTTATCATCTACCAAAGAAGGAAATCGAAACCTAACAAGTTTTCTATTGTTCTAAGTCATTCCCTACAGAATTTAGTATTACGAGCCCCTTTAACAGCTATTTCTGCTTCTCTGCCTATTCCTATAATGCTCTTATTCTTAGGTGACGCGGCAGATGGAGGAGGTGGAGGCCCAAGCATAGGCGCGAAGAAAAAAGGAGAATCATGCAATAGAGCGGCTACCTACAACAAGAAGAAGAAAATTTGCGAATGTGACGATCCAACAAGTGACGGACGAATTCAAAACCCAAAAGCATACGGTCACTATCCGCCTGTATGTTTCAATGTGCACGTAGAAGCTATTTCTTTACGATAGCCCTGTTGTAGCATTTAAGGACCAAGCCACGGTCAAAATAGGACCTTTTCCTTATTAGTTGTTAAAGACGCTGTTCCACCATTTTTTTGACGTTGGGTAATTCATGTTCTTAAGTTGAAGGATAGCTGGCTCAGTCAGATCAGCACAAAGCGAGCACAGTTAACAACTGAGGATCGTGAGGCTCATAGGATTCTTTCATTTGGCTCAATACTTTGACTGCGCACGTACTGATTATCGCCTACCAACGTTTCTGGTTGGGAAGAACTCATCCATAATGTACGTCATCCAAGAGTAGACGCACATTCTGCGTAGAAAACTCTTAGATTCTTTAAAGGGTACGTAATTATTTGTTTACTAGGCACACTCAAAGAATCAAATTGATGCGAGATTCTTTCTTGTCCGGATTCTCGGTTTCGGTAGGGCTGTAATGCCAGGATTGCAATGTTAACGTAATTTTATACAAAACACTGAGCAGTAGACATAGCAATCAATTCTCACATCAAAGTAAGTAAGTTAGTTAAAATCAATCACTTGAAACTTTTATACACACACTAATGGTGACATGCATACGATAAAATAAGAGCATTATGTGCTCTTACGGCCACAAATTCAATAATAGTCATTGAACAAGGTTACCCAATTGTTCGTGTACCTATCAGAATCAAAATAACCATCTTAGATTTTATTCGGAGAGGTTCGCACTGTACCGCATTGAAGAGATGAATTTCTTGCTACAAAGTTAGCAAAAAATTCACATAATTTGTTCAAAATCATCACATGCGCTTCTGTGCGAAAGATTTCATAATTGATCTCACCGGCAACTTAGGGAAAAAGTGCTACCTCAAAAGAGTCACTTTATGAGAGAGGTCAAAACGATTGCTAGTCAAACTTTGAACTTTCCGCTACATCTCTCCATACTTATATTATTTTAATCTATTCATTCTGTGCTTTCTCAAAACGTAATTGTACAAAGTTTTGATCCGCGATCGCTGCTGAAACCCAGCGGTAGTGAACACTAGCAGAGATGTTCT